TAATTGACGATTGCCTGTAAAATAGCAAGTAAAAGAAGTGGAGCTTGTAGAGTTGATCTTCTTAGTGGGTGTGGGTGTAGCACCAAGATGTAAAAATTGCTCTGAACTGACTTGCCTCTTGCTATTGGATCACATATTTTAAGTATCTTTTTTTCTTTTCTTATGCCAAATCTAAAATTCTCTCTGCCGTGTCCTGTGCTGCCTATCATGCTCCAAGTTCCACTTTCAGATCCTTATATGTGTAAAAGCAAATGGGAAGCAAACATGCCATGAAGCAACATCGTTGTGGTTGTTATCTGTCTAATCCCAAGCAGTGCTCTGGACCTCATAAGCACACTGAAGACATTTTGAATACTAAATACTAGGAGGTAGCAGTCCAGTGCTTTCATGGAAGTGTATTCATTTCTCCGGGGTGGGGGTGGGGAGTCAGAAGGAAGTTGTAACGGGGGAGACTATACAACCAAGTTAGAGGACACAGCAAGGAGCAAACTCATTGGCTCCTGCTAATTAGTGCTAGTTTTTACCTCATAGGCAGAGGGCCCGTTGCAAACACTAGACACTCCTGCTTTATTATTTTATTATTTATCACACTTTGACACTGCTCCTCTCCCTCACAAAGATGCTAGCTTCAGCCAATATAGTCAAACTTGATGGGAATTGTATTCCAATAACATATGCAGGCTCACAAATGTTCTTTCTTTCCTCGATGTCCTGATTCAGGGGTTAACTTCTGCAATTCTAGTAAGCCTGATTTTGTCCACAAAGTCACGGATGACATTTTGACGACAGATAGGAATTATTTGTCTTAGTGCAGCTGGTGCTAGAAAGAAAACACAAACTGCCTTCTATTCAAGTAATATAGAAATGGGGAACTCCAGCAGCTGTGAAAATATATTTTCTGTGTGGAAATATCACCTTTAGCTGTGAAAGTATCACCTTTGGTCATCCAACCAGATAACTTTTTATTTATTTATGGGATGTACTCCCTACCTATCACCTATCTGTTATAACAAATTAAAGAAAGGAGAATTGATGGCTTGGCCTCTTTTGATAGCAACAATGAAGGAAATTGGATAACCCAATTTACAACCTATTTACTATGTAACACTAGAAAAATAACTGAAATGATGTTTCAAATTTATGGAATTAATCTATAGGCTTTCTCCAGAAATTTGCTTTTAATGGTCACTTAAAGTAATTTTTTTAACTTCCTTTTAAAACCATGTACTCTTTACTGAACTTTATAAAATTATCCAGTTCGGGATTATAACCAATGTGGAATTCTATAACTATAATTGTTAGGTATATTATGCCAAATGCTTGCAAATAACTTCTTGGCTCCCATCGGGTTCTCTATTCCACCTGACTTCACTTTTTAAAAAAGATTTAAAAGTCAGTAAGGAATTGATGTGCCAGATTTATTCCCAGGAATAACTTTGGAGCCAATATCAGCATTCCTAGAAAATAAACCCAGAAGAAAGCTGCAGTTTAATTTGTGGCTTGGTATGTGCCTTTTTTTAAAAAAAAAAAAACTTGGAACAGCCTTTCTTAGGAAATATTGGTGACCTCCAATCCTGTTGGTCTTCTGGGAAGTCATGAAGACTTAAGCTTTCACCCTGATCCAGTAAGTACTGGCATTTATGGATGTTTGGGGCCATTGTATGATGTGAGACATGAGAGTGATTGGTCCAGATTATGTTTCATGTTTATATCTTCGTTCACCATCCACTGTTCCTCTGCTTAGATGGATGCCATATACATTTGTTTCATACGTTGATAAACTGAAGTCAAATACAGTTTTTCTATATCCAGTAAAGGGAAGGGCTAGAGCAGTCTCAGTCTGAATGCGACCAAGAACATCTCTTTCTAGCAAAGATAGCTATTGAGTATCTGGAAAGAGGAGCACCATTGGTGCCTCCAGAGAATATGGACTACCATTTTCCCAACACAGTTATATTAGTTATGATTATTTTCTGTTTTTCTTTGCAGGAGAAAAGGGAAGATTGGCTTTTGAAAAAATGGACAAGATATGCTGTGAACTAAGAGAGGCTATGTATCAAGAAGCTGAAATTGAAATTACAATATTTTGAACAAGATCTTCAGAGGAGGACCCAAGGATAAGATGCTACAGTAGAGTCTTCCAAGAAAAAATAAAAGTTGAACGCCATTGGAAAGCGTAACAAGCCATAATTACAAAGATTTTTAAGCATCCGCATTCTACAGTCTTTAAATATACCTAATATTACACTTGCACTATATTTGGGTGCTGAAGATGTATAGTGAAACCCAAAACACAACTTTTGGATTCGATGAATGAGATTGGAGAAGCTTCTTCTTTTTAATTGTTAGGTATATTCCTTTTTGGTTTCAAGATAAATATTTATCTTCTCTGAGATAAATAAGAGAAGGCAGACTATTATATATATATATATTTATTCATTTAATTCTTGTAGACCAAGATTTTCAAATGTCAAGTTCTAAAATTATTAGCATATTGCAGCAAATTATCTTGTGGTTGCCTTCTAGTGGCCTTTTCCCTTTGGAGTAGATCTCACAGAGAACTTAAGCCTACACCAAAGGGCGAAAGTTGAGGCTGATCATTTTAATTTTTAGTCATTTTGTTTCCTTTTTACATAAAAAATCATAGGGAAAATGCATTTCTCCTGCCTTCCCCACACAAGACAACACTCATTCTTTGATTTGGGGAGAGAGGCATCTGCAAAGGTATTTTTAAAAAAAGTTAACTCGGTGGCTACAACTGGATTATTGAAGCTTATCCTGCTTTTATTTGTACCATGTGCATAAGGCATGTGAAAAGGCAGACAGAACTTTGTACATAGAATAAAACTCAAGACAGAAAGTTCTTGGATTTTGGGACTGAGATTGGAGCTTTACAAATAGTTGTTGGTCCTCCCTGTAGCTGCCATATAAGATGAATATAAGCTTCCATATAAGATGAATATTACCATGTTCAGATTTTTGACAGACCTTCTCTCCCTCACTCCTTCCTCCTCCCCCCCACTGCACCTATTTCCTTTTTCTACTTATCCAACTCAGTCTTAAGTGCTATTGTGTTGAAGGGCATCCAGCCAGCTCCAGCCAGTTGCTCTGGTTTCACCCCAAATTAAGGAATTACAGGTTTGGAAAAAGGGGGAGTTACTTATCCATCTCAAGTGGATATTTTCATTAATGTAATTTGAATACATTGGAATAAAATTAGTACAAAAAAAAATTGCAGGCAAGTCAACACCTGTAGACTTTTTCCCTCTGGGAAAAAAATATATCCCAAGAAAGTTTTGGAAACGTTTTATTGTCTCCTGAAGATTTGAAAGATAAATTGAAATTATGTCTTTATTTCTGTTAATGAAGTAAAACAGACTCCTTTGGAAGCAGTAACAAAGAACCATTTTTAAAGGGCTTCTAGTGGTCACCTGAAATATATTTTTATGTTTTCATTGATCTTGGCAACACCTTGTGGTATTGAGTAAATAGGATTAAGGCTTTGAATGCATAGTATGGTTTTCCTTTTACTGATAATGGTTGACTATTCCAAATGTACTAGGTTTTCATCACCTAATCCTTTTATACAGTATATTTTGCTGTGTATTTTTCAGTATTTATTGCTAAGACTAGTTTGAATATTCAGTTTTTTAAAAAATATTTTATTAAAATATCTGAAAAGGATTTTCATTTTCAAGTGGTCATTTATATAACATTCAACAACAAAATGAGTTTCAAGGAAGAATCAATTTGGGGTAAATTTGTTTGACTTTAAGGTGCTGGAGAAGAGACAATAATTAACTACTTAGGGGGAAAAGTTGCAATGGGTGGAAACTATTGCGTGAACTGGGCAGGCCATAATATGCTCATATGCAGCTCAGTTTTTCAAGATTGGCTCCTTTATTGGGCTAAATCTATTTCTATGTATTAAATAGCAATCTTAACAGGTTTTCTTCCTTCAGACCAGTAGGTTTGGTGGTTGCTCTGCTAACAATGGCAGTAGAATGTGATTGTCATTTTTGACTCTTGATGACTGCATGGACAAGTCAATGCAGTCTTGCAATTTTGTTATTTTATGAACGTTATATTTTCAGAAGGGGGTTGCACTACTTTCTTCCTAATACTGAGAGGGAGGGTCTGTCTTAAAATCACCCAGCTGAATTCATGATTAAGACTGGATCAGAACTCATGATATCTCAGCTTTTTAATTCACTGCCTTTAACCACCAGATCAATCTGGCCATTACCAGGGTGGTTTTTTTTTTAAAAAAAATCCACCATTCCACACTCAACAAATATTATACTGCAAGAGTATTAACTTTAGACTTTCAATTTTGCAGCCTTTCTGGCTAACATTCTCTAGAACAGTCTTCTAGGAGTGATGTTGGCATCTCTTGAAAGGGCAATTCCATGAAGGAGTCTGTGAAATTATTGATACAAATCCTATTGACCATCTTACTCTACCAGGTTGTTTCTTCAGCCTCCTTTGTGAAAAAATGCAAATCTTTATAAATCGTGAACTCTTTCCTAATCTCGGTCTCTTGCTAAATAAGCATTGTGTGCCCCCTCGCCATATCTTTCATTTTTGCAATATAAAGGCTGAATGTAAAATCTTTTTCATCAATTAAAAGTATTAGTATATGAGATTAAGAGATTGCAATGTTTTACTACAGCGAGCATGGAATCTTTCTCCACAAGTGCCTACCAATTTATGAGAACTGGCTAGCCTGCAATTTCCAGGTAAAATGTTTAAATGAAGGCTAAAATATATGCTTCAATGAGCTGCTGCCATTGAAACAAACAACAAAAAAAAGGAAGCAGAGAAAAACCAGACAAGTGCTTCTTTACAAAAGAATTTTATTGTTGCAGCTAAAATGAGAACTGAAAATTTGTATGGGAAATTGAAAAACTGTACAGTTTTACTGAAACTGTAAGGTCATTGCAGCGCCTTACATAAGACAATATACCTGAAAACGTATTATACCAAAACATTTAGCTTGTTTTTATTTTATTTCTTTTTCTTAAAAAAGTCTTCTATGGCAATTGGTAAAAAAAAGAAAGACCTGATGAGTAAATATTTTGCTTAAGGCATATAGCAGAGCAGCTCACTAACTTTCTAACAAGTTTAAACATGGATATTTCTTTTCCTTCCCCCTCCCTAACCCCGCCCGAGAATAGGTTAACCAATACATCCACTTTGAAATGCTACTGTATATATACACACCCCAAACTACTACATTACATGTACAAGGACATCAAAACAAAATGCTTACAGTTCAGCATGACAAGCCGTATCCACACCTCGCTGAGCTCTATCGGGGCTTTCTACTGTATTTCTTACAGCACTTCTATTCCACCCTTCTTATGCTGGTCTATGACCATAAAAAATATTTGATTGGATACAGCACTTCTTTTGTTCAAAATTATCAAGGCAAATAGTGATGCTGGCAGACTGGAGAGGAACATGGTAATCAGAAGGAGATTTCTTGGCTGTCTTGGGACAACAACAAAAAATAAATTTAGTTCTCCCTGACAGATTAAATATAGTACAATCACGTTGCTGTGGAGATACATTCTGAAGTTGACCATGTCGTTGTGGAAGAGATAATGCAATTCTTTCATCAAAGAATTGTTTTTTTAAAAAAAAAAACCCAAAATCCCTTTATTTTTAATGAAAATAACAGATTTTCAATTCTAGTTTTATTCCAGCGATCAATGTAACTGTTTCCTTCAGACTATCAGAAGTCAATTTAATGTATCTTGGCATAGGGACGTCTCTGGGGAATAAAAATGGTTAAGATGGTACCTGCACCCATATGGTTGAACCTCCCTCCCTCTTTTTTATGTGTCACACACATCAAAAGGGGGTTGGGCCTTCAATTGGTTATGGCTGCCATCTTGACATTTTTGACCCATCTTGCTGAATGCCCCTGTCTTGGCACTTCACGTTTCAGCAATTTGCCATAGAAAACCAGGGTGCGTGTGTGAGAGAGGGAGAGGTGTGAATATGGCTTTGTACACACTCTGGAATGTTTGTACTATAGTTACTTGGTTGAAATGAGTGCTATACAACTGGTTTAGATGGTGTACATAGAAAAACTGCCAAATAATAGGCAAGATACAGGCAACCAGGCTTCTTTTTAAAGAGAACATACACACCTACCAATCTTTGAGCTGAATGAAAACACTTCAGCAACACCCTTGGAATCACAGCCATTTAAATAATCAGATCATGCAAGTATAATTGGGCACATCAGAAAGCAGAAATATAAAAATTATGTTCACCCTTTAAGCACATGGATTTCAATCAGGACACTTTTAGGAGACTTTATACATGCATTTGAATAAAAATGTGATACAAATGCGTCTGAATAATATTCTACTGGATGACGGAACGTGGAAGGGACAAAGCAATCACATATTGAGTAGCAAAATACATAGATGAGCTATTATATATTATGCCATTTTCTATAGTCATGTCAATATTTTCATGTTTCCAATATTATTACTTAGTATTGACTGCTTAACAAAATTCCTCTTTCTCACAGGTAAGGGTGTAAGTTTTCCAGGACTACCTATGAATGTATTATTGTCATTTTGAAAAAAAACCCTTGATACTAGCCTCATTTTGAAATTGTTCTTTCAACTCCACCTTTTCTTCCATTCCCCTTCTCCAAGACCTTTCTTTAACATCTCATTTGCTTAAAGAAGAAAAAGCTAACTTTGGTCAGAATTGAGGAGTAAAATAAATATGGAGTGAGAACCCTGATACAATGACAGATTTTTAAAAAGAGATGACAGTTAAGTGCTATATAGGTAGAATATAGAATTTCCAAATAACTTGCACTGTAGACTGGGTGTCATTTTGTTAATGGAACAGCTGCAACTTCAGTACTCTTTCTCTGCTGTACAAGGTTCTCTTTTGTTATTTATATTGCTTATAAAGAGTGGAAGGGGGGGGGGATTATCAACTTCAGCATACTACCCCAGTTGTAACATTTATGAACAATATTTATGATTGGTCAACTTTTACTCTTTTCTTAGCAGCTATACTCAATCAAGCTTAGCTGTACCTAAAATAATAAAATAAAATACAAACAAATTCTCTCTTCAACTTCATATGGAACAAAGGATTTGTTCTGAGTTAGGGTACAAACCTCCTCTTCAGCAGAAGTAGAAAGCTCACGGATAAAGCAACCAATCTTTACACATCTGAATTAACAGTCAGAACTATGGAGTTCATTCTAGGATGCGTAAGATTACAGCCTTAAACCTGGCTCCTAAACAGCATGATCTTTAAGCCAAATAAAAACTAATCTTGGAATCTTTGTTCTAAAAACAACACTGAAAATCATCAACACAGTGGTTTATAACATGAAAAGATTGAGAGAAGAGCTGGCCCAGCACTGAGGTTTTGCTGAGAAACACTGCACTGGATCTTTAGCCTAAGAAGGGTTGCATGTGTGTTAAGAGAGTGACGATGATGATTTTAAAATGGTTCCTCTTCTATTCTGTATACGGCATAGGACATTCTTCACATGGTAAGTCTAGAATGAGATTGCATTTTACATTCCATAGACTGACAAAGCTAACACACTGGTCCTTTTCTAAAGCAAGTATCTGATATAAATGCTGGTGGACATTCTGCTTACATTTCCCTTCCCCTTCTCCATGAGGATAGGAAACTATATACAAAGTCAAAATATTTTTTTTAGGAAGTTGATCGTGCAATACAATGGGCATGTACACAGAAATAAAAGAGTGCAAGAGATGATTGACAACATAGCAATGAGCACTGATGGTGAGTGGGGAGAGAAATCACTCATTTTGTCCAAAAAGGAGGGAGAATATTGTAGCATTGACCTGTTGGGATGCCCTGAGAAAAAGTGGTGCCCGTTTATAGCATGTTACTGAAGCAAGAACCTACTTGAGAAAAATAAAATAGATCCCATATTATTTGCACTGCCAAAAAACTCAGGGTGCAATCCAATTGAGTGTGTCCAGTCTCCATTCATTCACTGGAGCTCCTGAACAACATCAAAATCTAATAAGAGGCTATGCACAAGTGGTTCTTTAGACTGAGCCATCAGTCCCTAGAAAGGCAAAGAGTGAAAAGCTCCCTCTCTCTCAAAAAAAGCTGTACATTCTTCAGGGGTGTGCATCTGTGTATACAGTGGTTGTTGAAAGGAATACGATCATGTATCATGCTTGGAGAACATAGGCAATTTTCACTTGTGCCTAGTTCCTTTTTTTCTGAAAAACCACCAAAAGAACAACAAAAGTACCCTCCCCACCCCCCCGGCTTTAAAATATTTAAAAAAAAACAGCAATGTGTTGTAAACTCTTATTATTCCATTTTAAAAAATAAGGAAAAAATGAAAAACACAAGACTTATTTGGCATATTCTCTGCTTACTCCTGAATATCTTAAGGCCCTGAGATTAGAATGTTCTTGGGACCTAGGGCTAAATCCTAAACCCTAGTGCATCGACTTTCTCTTTAAACCCTAACCAAAGTTCCAACTTCTCTAACATACCATACTTTTCACTTGGATAAGGCTTAGTTGCCCTTTTAGCTTTCTTGTACAGAAACAAATGAAACACCACGGATATTACTGGTATTCTGATACCACCAGTGTGATGTCCATCAATGAAAATACACTCTGTAACAGAGGTATGCACCCGCTGTCAGAACAGTGAACATGCAGATGTTGACCAGGAATGGTTTCCAAGTTGTCATCACGCTCTCTTCATCCTCTTCTTCTGGCTTCAAAATTTCATCATTGCACGGTGAAGCATCAACAGTTCTCTTCCTAAGCGTAATATCTGGACTGGTGCTGCAGGACAACAAACATGCTGAGATTAGAATTCTTTGGTGCGTGGTGTGATTAGTGAGGCTTAATCTGAAAAGTAAATGAACTTTCCCCAGCATGATTCCAATACTGCGGTTCTGTCATTTAATTAATTAAATGACTTCTGAATAAGAATAGCTAAATTAAAACAGGAAACATTAAGATATGGGTCCTGTAGATATAAAAAGCAATAGTGACATCTAGTGTTAAAATATACTTCATTTCCCCTTTATGTTTCCAATAACCATCTCACTCAATTTCTGGATAAAGTTTTCATAAATGGAGCTGGAATCACCCTTAAATTTCCTTTGAAGTGGCAAGGTGCTTCTCTGAAATTTTGCAACTTTCTTAAAGGATCTGAAGTAGAACCATATAGGACCATTAGTTCCATAATTATTTTTTTATATAACCTCCTTTCTCCAAGAGTAATAAACTTACATGAAATGTATAGTTTCATCCTGACAATATTTAAGTCCAATTAAGAATGTTTCATTCCATTGAGAAGTTTTAAATAAATCACTCTCGTTCATTTTCAGCCATTGCAAAAAGTAAATAACTTAAATATTCTCAAACTGTAAGACAAGTCATTCTTCTTCAAACTCATATGCTGATGTTATTATCATGGAATTTCTTTTAGCAATGTTACTTCAGAAGGCAAATAAGGAACATATTAGCTTTTTTCAGAACTACTCTTTGACTTATAAAAATCATACTGTATTGTTCTTCATTATGTTACTAAAGTAGCTCAGTAGGATAGCTTTTAACTCAGAAATGGCAATATTATATTGTCCATACTGAATTCAATTTAAAACATTTAAATTTAAAGCATTTAAGGGCTTCTTTTTTCAGAAGATAATGCAACTTGAGAAAAAATGACTCCTTTCAAATGTCTATTTTTATTTTATATGCTGACATATGTCATTATACGAACGAGAATTAAATTTTCAGTGTACTTTACTGAACACATTGGGAAAAATAGAGGAGGAGGCCATAAACTGGTGGAAACACACTATAAGCGGAGACAATTTGTTAAGAATCTACAAGAAATACTTATAGTATTCCTTGGCAACATTACCTCTCTATAACCTGCTGCTCAGAGGAACAAGCTCTGCCATCCAGAACACTGGCTTCCAAAGTGCTGGCAGCACACTTGATTTCTTCCTCAGCCCTTGGATGCTTTGATAAAACTTCCATATCACCATGCACCCTTCCATTATTCATTTCAGAGGTTCTTTTGGGTGGCCTTGGAGGTGGAGGAGTATGTTCTGGTGGTGGGTCCAAATCTTCATTAGAGAGTTCTTTCCATTGCTCCTTCAACATGAAGAAGGAATTGATTAACTTCTCCAAAATGATCATAAATTCCACCAATCCCTGAATATTTTCCTGGATATATAGGAACCTAATATTTATGGAGACACTAAGCTGGATATATATGGTGGTGCAGGGGTTAGAATGCAGTATTACAGACTAATTCTGTCAACTGCCAGCAGTTCGATCCTGGTGGGGTTCAAGGTTGACTCAGCTTTGTCTATCCAAGGTCAGTAAAATGAGGACCCAAACTGTTGGGGGCAATATGTTGATATTTGTATATCTTACAGAGGGCTGTAAAGCACTATGAAGAGGTATATAAGCCTGTTATTGCTATTACTACATTTCTGAAAACATTGTAGTTTGTTATATTTAATATATATGAGAAACTTTCTTATGGAAAGCACATGCTTCAGAGGAACCTCTCCTTCCTTTGTCTTCCTATATACAAAATATGGACAGGAAGTGGGAAGAAAGGGCACAATAAATGTTACTATTATTATTGCTTTATGCTGTTTTGGAGGGCTATGATTCTGCTTTGTGTTTGGTAGTTTTAACTGTAAGTCTTCCAGAGTTGTTGGGAGTCAGACAACCTATAAATTGCATAGAAAAAAACCCCAACAAATGAAGAATTGGGGCATGTTTTGTCCTATTTTTGTAACAATGGTTCCCTGCATTTGTAAATTGTGAACAAGGAATTGCCTTTCTAATCAGAATCTCACATGGCATTTCATATAATCCTAAACGAGTTCTTCACTGCAGTGGCTGCTCATTCTTGACCAAGCACTTCCTCGTTCTACTACAAAAATATGCCACCGTTTGTCATTCACGTCCTGCCACTTTCTACAGAAGATAAATCGACCAATTTCCATGAAAATAAATAAATAAACATCAAATCTGATCAATGTTCAAAATGGACATCAGGAAGAATATTTCAATCTCCAAGGAGAACCCACCATAACATTTTTTTTAAAACAAAGGACTGTGATTCAGATTTCAATGTGAAACAGCTAAGTATTAAGAGGTTCAAACAACTTCCTATGGCACAAACAGGATAATAACTTCTTGCCATTCTACAACTGGTGGAAAAGTATTTCTCATATGCTAATTATGAATGTCATAATCATAACTAACTGATCATGAATCTGAGGAAAACTATTGTTTGATCATGAATCTGAGGAAAACTATTGTAATTCCAACAAATATGTCATAATAAACTCTGTTTTATATCTTAATCTACATGTCTATCTATCTATCTATCTATCTATCTATCTATCTATCTATCTATCT